AGATCATCGCAGTTTTTTTTTTTTTTTTTATCCACCTTTAACGCCTTGGGCTCTGATTTGAGGCTCCTAGATGTCATTGGCCCGTAGTTCATTGCCCGTCATGCCACACTATCTATACGCCACTGGCCCCGGGATAGTAACCGATGCTAAACGTTCGTCTGGATAATATTTCGATTTTTAATGCGATTTAAATTGTTGAACGAAAATAATACTGGTAATGTGTATACTAATGTTTCAGGGGAGATTTCGACAAGGAGGATCAATAGAGTAATTCAATTTATTGCGTACAGCCACAACGATAAATCAAAAACAATTCCGTGCAGAGTATTATATTAGTCGTGTTTTTTTCTATTGTTGCCACGGTAACTTAGTAGGTAGTCAACAAAACTCATAAACAAATAACAGTTTTTCCCTTTCATTAAGAAAAGGATAATCAAATAAATGACCGCCTCGATGCATAAACTAGTTCAAAAATTCTACCAGCATGTTCTTAACAAGTTGTTGATTAGAGCTAAATTTCTGGTGGAAAAGTTGTTTACGGACATACAAAAAAAAAGAACACATCACAGTAAAATCAGCTAAAAAATAAAAATGTTTTATTTTATTATAGTATAACTGTAGTTAGAGGTCAAATTTTGCCACAAAAAGCGTCGAAATCGGTGTAATTTATTGAATTATCCCTGGTTATTCTTTGGTTCAGCTTAAACGAACGGAATTAAATTGTGTTTGAGATATGGCCGATTGCGAGAAATGAAGTTTCTCGTTTGCGAAATAATATTCTCGTAGCACGGAAATAATTCGTCGGAAAATAATTGCATTGAAATCTAACGTCACTGAGAAGTAACTGAAAATAAATCTTTAAGAAACCTTCTTAGATTATTCTGCTGGAATACAAATAACAACAGCCGAAAATAAAATAACTGGCGGAAAATAAGAGAATATTTTAAGATAATTTTAATTTTCTCGGAAAAATAATACGGAAAATAAAATCAAACTGGTGCAATTTAAAATAGGTACTCAAAAAAGAAATAAAACAAATGGACATACTTCGCATGGTGGGTGGGCTACTGTTTTAGGTGAGAAGTCGGGAAGGTATAGAGGGGAAATTTTATATATATTTTTACTCAAAGATTACTTTGGTATTACTTGGAATTACTGTTAACGAAAAACAATTCTGAGTAGAGTTCGGTTATACATATTTTGAAAGGCCATAATATTTACGACTTGAAAATAATACATTTTGTAAATATTCCCGTTTTTCCCATTTATTATGAAAACCTCTGGGAAAACCAAAAAGTACCACCCCAGTCATATTTCGTTTCAGAAAATGTGTTTCACTTGAATATCGGAGCAAGATTTCTGGAAGAAGATTTGTTTTCAAGAAACAAAATAAATATCAGTATATAAAACGAATACATTCTTTGCTCCGCTCAGAATCTAAAAGAGATACTCCTGTTGATGGGTGTGTCCACTGTTGTGAGAAATCGGGAGGATCCATAGTTATTTTCATTTATATCGCTATGCAATGATAAATAATTTTCACTCAACTTTTTTTTTCTTGTAACTAAATACAACTAATGGTGATCCTCTTGCGTACTATTTTCAAAAATGTCTGCTTTAACTCAAACAATTTTATCTGTAAAAAAGTCAAAAAAGAAAAACGCGAAAATGTTTATAGAAAGCTCGGAAATATAATATAAATATGTGTAGTTTATATTATACTAGCCGTCCCGGCAGTGTTTTGCTATTGCTAGATTTTTTTATCAAATGAATTTAAATTTGTTGAGCGTTGATCAGCAATCAAAATTACGATACATTTTCAAATTAACAAGGCATATTCAGTTGATACCATAGATACGTTTTGATCATAGATACCACATAATCAACAAAAATAATAATAATATTTACTTTATTAACAAGGTAACCCAATCAACACAAATTATACCACAGAACACCGAAATCCCTGTGTCAGCTATCCTTAAGGGAGTTGAATTTTAGAAATGTCAACAGCTATAAACCTTATCCGGACTAAGCGGACCATTTTTTTTGCAAAAAATACCGTTAAAATCGGTCCAGTAGTTTTTGAGTCCATAAAGGACATACATACAGACAGACATTAATTTTTATTTATACTATAAATAGAATAGAATAGATAGATATATGGAAAAATAATAATAGTTGTCCCGGATACGCCTAGAAGGTTTGAACTTCCAACTTCCAACCCAACTCCCATCCCACGTGTTTGTATGTCGGAAGATAATTTGAAGCCGGTGAACAATTTTTGACGACTCTAGCGACTCTAATTTTTTTTTTCTCGGGAAATATTATTGTTGTATTGTTTTTTACGGTAATATTATAAGTTATAATCCATCGGTTATAACGAAAGGCGGCGATTTTTTTTTTTCGTTTGTCGCAGTCGTTTTACCGAAAATATCAGATAATAATATCCGCTCGCGTGCTCCCGGCGCCGCCGGCGGCGTATTATACAGGAGAACGGACACCTCGTCTTTATACATTATGCACCCGGCCGATTTATTATTATAACACGCTGTATAATATTATTGTTCCGATTGTCCGTACACGCGACGATGATAATAATAACGATAATAATGTATAGGTGCGCGTCGGTAATAATAATAATGAAAAAAAAACACACAATATAATAACGTCTGCAGTACACCGTCCTACCGACACGATGCAGGTTGTGTCGCGAGAAGGCTTATACATTTTTATTTTATACGACGACGATAATAATATACGCCGGTTGTTATAATAATGCTCGTATTATATTATTGTAGGTGGGGGGGGAGGGGGGCGATCGGCGACGGCCGGTAGAAACGATTAAAAAAAAAAAACCGAAAGGAAGAACAACCGACACGTATATAATAATATAAAAATCTAACGTCGTCGTACAGACGTGACGAATCGCTACGGGCGGCGTCGGTGGCGGCGTCGGTTTGGCCGCGGGCCGTGGATATCGGCGGCCGTTTCGATCTCCCTGGGCTCGCGCGACCCGTAACACACGGTCGAGTGCGTGCGCCCGCGAGTGCCTCTTGAAGTCTTTGTAATACGGAATCGGGCGCGTTATACCCGTATACATTGAATACCCGGGGAACATTATTATTATTATTATTCTGTACGGACGAGCGGACGCGCGTATTCGTCGGTATACTATGCCGTATCGTATAATATAATACACGCGCCCGAGAAGCAGAACCAGTTTCGGCGACGCGCACGTAAAAATACGTGCGGAGCGGCGGACGGGCGAAAGAGACTCGCGCGGCGCGCGGTCGCGGCAGGTGAGCCCGACGAGATCGGGAGATCGGATTTTGTGCGTGCGCGCGCGCGTACTGGTTCCTTTGTGTACCGCCGATCCGCGTATATTATGTACAGGGTGGCGGGGTTCACCGGATACCACCTATATGCCACCTACATATATACACAACTTTTAATTGTTATCTATATATGTCCCGCGTACCTATATATAATACTTACGTCTCCCGGTCACGGTACCGACAGTTTATATACCATTACTCGGGTATTGGTTGCTAGATATCGTGCCTATAGCGGCTACGTATAGTATACACGGTTTTGTTGTATGATATGATTTTACGTGCCGCGCACGTACGCGTATAAATACATATTATTATTATTGTAAGCAGAGCCAGAGGCCTTGTTCCCGGAGTACTAGCGTAATACCTGCAGTATAGGTACGTTTAAGTAGACGTAGATTACAATGGGCGGTGATGCTTATGTACCGTATATAATATATACACACACACACACACACACACACATATATATAGAGAGGACTATCGGAAAGAGATAATAATAAAAGCGACGACGGTGAATCCGTGTGAAAAATTACCTATCTGTAGACGTAGGCCCGCGGAACGAGACGGGAAAATGTACAATAAAAAAAAAAGAAAAAGAAAAAAAAAGACGTGGAATAACGTATAAGGTCAAATTGTACTGGGCTTAAAAAAAAAAGGTAATCGTCAACTGCGCTCGGGTGGCCAAGAAGAAAAGAGAGTTTTGTTTCAACAAAAATGTTAGAAAAAATAAATTTAGTTTAAAAATTGTCTGTGCTTCTGCAGAACTGCACGTACCTTCACTGGCTCTTACTCGAAAACAACTATTTGTTTTTAGCCTCGGCGCGGTAGATCATTTGATTTAGATAAAATTGCAACTCTACTATCCCGGAATTAATATTTGGTGGAGGAGGATCGAGTTAAAATGAAAAACCGACGGATATAGAAAAATACGACAGATTGGGTGTGGAATGGAATGGTCCTTATAGATGTCTCGTTTACCAGACGAGAAGAATAATTATTATTATACCGTTGTTACCGGTCTAAAATACGAGGGAGGTGTGGTAGATTGGCGTTTTTGTATTCATTCGTCGGGAGGGGAGGGAAATCACAGTTTTAATACATTGTTCTAAAAACCGTTGATGTATGTTGACGATATTCTTTGACATTATTGATTATGCTTATGTAAAAATATCGCTTGAAAAGGAAATTACAATATTTATAATAACAGTAGTTATTGGTGATCAGTTCTATTATCCGCGACGTGCTCAAGGATTTTTTGTGAGACGGACGATGTAATAAATAATAATCACGATTCACCAATGAACAAGTAGAATCTCTTTCTGTTGACCCGACAATGAAAATTTAAAACCCGGAACAAAAAAAGCCAATTAGTATTCAATGAATTAAGCTTGCTTTTTTTTTTTTTTTTTTTTTATCGTTTTTTGGATAAAATATAAAAATGAATAAATATTAACACTCATTTATATAGTTTTTGTATTTGTTAGCCAATGGGAGGTGAGAGAAGACATACGTTTTCCTATACCTGTGTCATATATATATATATATATATATATACAATAGCCTCATCAGGCCGTTATCGGGGAACGGAAATTGTGATTTTTTTTTTCTAGGGGGCGATCGTGTTGTGTTTTTCTTCGCGATCGCGTTGTGCTGTGGTTTTTTTTTTCAACTCTCTAATTGATTATTTTCCAACGCGCGCATTTCATAGCCGTCCGTGTGTGTGTGTACGTATTGCAGCGGCGGCGATGGCGGCGAAACGGTTAAGTCACGATTTTTCGCAGACCGGAAATCGAGATCGAAGGTTTTTTTTTCCGTCGCCCTCTTGCCGGTCGACGACGACGGGCCGACGAGTGAGCGGGGAAAACTTTCGAACCCCCCACGGAAACGGCTCAATAGACGCGCTAATGAACCGTCGTCGTCATCGTCGGGTGCGGCGACCATCATCACGTTCCATATAAATCCCGCGCACATGTATACCGGAGCCAAAACGAACCGATCGCGCACGAATAGTAATAATATGACGCGTTCGTCGGGAAATCGAGTACTTATGTCTTATGTATACGTATATATATATGTATAAAAGAGTGAAATTAATCGAGAGAATCGTCTCGGTGCTGCCGTTCGCTCTACACATAGCGCAGACGTGACAACCGCGCGGGGCAACCTGCAGAGATGGGCGAAATCCTTTAGACAAGGATTTAAAAGCTTAACAATCCAAATCCAAGGTCCAATCTCCGAAATGTTTACGCTGCAGTTAGCAAACTAAGTGATACGTTACGACGTAGCATTTAATGGGTACACGATGATAATACCAATTATATATAATTTTATAGAAATATCAGTAGTATAAATAATGAAGTATTATAACACGAGCCAAGTGTGAATAAATAACAAAGCCATGTTATTTTGTAAAATTTATTTTCATATAAATAGTTTTTTTTTTTTTTTTTTTTTTTTTTTATCGTGATTAGTTGTAAATCAATTTGAAATGTCACTGAGACATGTCGAGTAGTTTTAGGCTTGAATAACTGAAACTACGTCTTTATATCCGATGAAGAATCGACGAAAAGTAACATGAATAATTTATAATTGATATAGATTACGCGTTATTTATTGATTTGAACTAATGCTAACCGTCTATAATCCTGATCCCAACACAAAACTGTTTCTACAAAGATTTCAGGATTTTAAAATACGTAGAAAATTTACTGAACGGTTTTGAAAATTCAAATCCGAAATCTTAAAAAAAAATGGATTTTGAAAATCCCAAAACAAAATCCCTTTAAAAATGTAAAATTCGAATTTGGAATTTGGATTTTAAAATCGAAATAATTGAAGTTCTGATCAAATTTGATTGCCTATCCACTTTTTTCTGAAACAAATTGAAATTGCCGGTTTGGGATTCTGTGTGAAGAAATTCGTTTCACTAACATGCGTTTTTATTCTCGGAAAATACTTTTTTCGATTAGTAAACAAATTGACTCTTAATTACTTTATTTGTAACATTGTTTTATAACTTCTAGACAGAAAAAAAAAACAACCCGATAACATAATATTATGACGCCTAGTATGCCTACTAATTTATTAAAAAAAATCAGTTTAACGAGCACTTTTCAGAATCGTTTTACGATTGCAATGATCCATCGCTGCTTTCGGTATGTAAACTAAATTACCCGACAATAAACTTCCTATCTAAACCAGAAGTGGCCTATACCCACGGCGATACGAAAAGTATGCCCGTCTTTTTAACACTGATATTATTATATTATCTATAGGTACCGTTGTGGTTAAAATAACAAATGAAAACGTTCTTACCTTTCGCGTGTGACCGATGACACATAGGACCAGAGGCGGACTAGGCCACTGCGCTACTGTACAACCGCTCGTTTATTATAATGAATTATTATTATTATTATTTTTTTTATCTTTGTAAGCCATTCAGGCTTTTCGCAGTTGAGACTTATTCTTTCATTTTAATAATTTTGTTTTTACTTTATTATTTTTTATTTTATCCTTTCCATTTCCCATTTTGATATGATTTCAGTTTATTTCTCTTGATTGCGTAAGTTCCATCATGGTCTCCCATAAGTGTATGTCTTCACTGTCTTCTATTCATTAGTCTTCCATCTGCTCTCCATACGTGCTCCAAACATCCATTCTAACCTTGTGCTTCTAACGAATTGAACCACATTTTCTCTTTTGTAAAGTGTACTTAGTTGATTGTTTGTTCTTATTTCCCATTTCTACTCTCCTTGATTATATTATATTGGGCCATGTATTCTCCTCAGTAACTCTTTCTCGAATCTTATAGGAGCTTTTCTCGTTATTATGAGTTAGCAGTTATTAAAATTGTAAAAATTGTTAGTATTTAATTTGAATTATTTGTCATGTGGGTGAGGATAGGGTGTAAAAGGTGCAATTACAAACTAAATTAATATAATCAGTAAACTGTGTAAAATTAATTCGTTTAATGCCGATAGATATTTTACACTTGGGGCGCATTGTCTTTTGCAATACAGTGGGCCCATTGCGGCCAGGTCTGCACAGGACAAAATTTCAGTCGATTATGTACGTTCAAGTCGTCTCGCAGGAATAGCCTACTACCCGGTCGTTTTCTTCCGTAGTTACGTCGTCTCGGAAATTGGAAAACTTTTTTCCCGTTCGCGTGTTCCGTACAGCGCGGTCGGACATACCTATTTGGCCGTCAGCTGATTTGTAGATTTTAGACGTCCGAACGGTCGACTATAATATATAATTACGAGATAGGTTATACTGTTTTTTCGTATTGGTTTTTTTTTTAAATTTAAATTTAAATTCAAATTACCTTCTTATTCGAATGGGTTGGAAAAGAACGTTACTTATGTCTAAATTGTACACTATACGCAGACGACGTATTATATTATGTACCCACTGTCTACTATACACAAAAAAACGTAATAACGAATAAGAGAGGCGTCTGGAAATCGGAGGCCAGGTGACTACAGGCAATATAATGTAGTCGCCACATAACATTATAAAATACTCGCTTAAATCTGGCTCTACGGGAGACGCGGACACAACGAGCAGTCGGTATAGTAAATACGAAAAAGACGACATATTAATCGTATCTGCAGCTGCAGCCGTTCTTATATATTATAATCCCTCCGGTATTTGTTTATTTATACCGAATTTTTCTTTTGTCGACCGTATACCTGCACATCACTCTCGGGACTACAATATTACAACATCACATCATCACTGATCACATTGCCTATAAATAAATCGTTTTTCTCTTTACTCGATGTTGGCGTATTATTCCAAATAATATACGTTTTAACACGATTCCGTAAACGGAGAGAGTTGATATAATATTGTACACCACGGGTCGGCCACTAGCTGTTATATAGGCGGGTAGTCGGGAAGGTAGGGTGTACAGGGGGACTCGTTTTGTGTGTTGTACGCGCGAAAATAAATCATCGTGCACAAATGCAATGATTCTGAGCGAATAGTAATATCATACGATTTTTATAACCCAGAAATCAATAAATAATAAAAACCCGACGATGTGTCGAAATTTGTTGATAGTTAGTTTTTATATACTGCGAGGATACATTATTGGGAATAATCTAGACATTCGTTTCAAATAAAGGACAACCGTAATTTGGATATTTCTTACTAACCGAAAAAGCGTTTTCCGAGGGGGGGGGGGGGAAAGGCCAACAAAGAACCTTGCAGGGATGATCATTATTCACTATACTAAATTGCAATATCGATAAATATTTCAAAAAATACATTCAATAATAGGACGGAAATCCAGCACATTTTGAAGTACTAGGTACTGAGGTACGTGGAAACTTTTGACCGACCAAAAACTGTTTTTTACAATTTTTTAGAAAAAGTATTATGAATTTCGAAACACTTTTCGTATAATGTATAATAGCGGGCGAAAAATTCGTATCTTCCAAAGTATATGGTGTACAAAATATATAAAAGTATACAAAATCAGAGCGTTTTCACTCGCCGAAAATGTATTTTCCGAAAAAAAATACGTAGTAAAACAATAATATTCGGTACACTCTGAATCTAAAAAATAAAAAAATCGAATATCACGAGTAAGCAAATACCTGCCTATTTATTCCGTTTAACGTTCGTTTTTAAGCGATCGTCGGCGAACAAATTTTATTAGAACTTCAAACACACGGCGCGTATTACACGTAAACCGAATGCACATATATTTTGTTTGTTTTTTTTTTCACCCAGAACGTACGGAGTTTCACGCGGGACGGTCGGATTTTGCGAAACGCGTACGTGATTTGCGAATAAGATTTCCAATAAGATCACGCGGCGCGGCCGTCACGAATACGCATTTAAAACGTATACGTTCGCTAACGAACGGAAATAATACATCGCGGGAGAAACGTATCATATAGACGGAACAGACCGCGCATAATAATACGCCTTACGCGTTGTCGCCGAGAAATGATTTTACAATAGTATTGTCCGGTGGTGGCTACACCCTACGGTCAAGGTGTTGTTCGAGAACCGATCAACTATTTAATTATTTACAGTGTTAATTATCGGAGAAAAGGGCGTCAGAATTGAAAAGAATGCAATCATTGAATAATACTCCTGTGCAGTCCAATCGTTTGACATCAGCAAATGATTTATCGTAGCGTACAGATATAAATTAAAATACTCCTATATGGTTCCTCCCTTCCAAGTTCCAAGACTTCCCTCCTAAAACGGGGGTACACCAATTATAGGAGTATAGGGTGTTTTTTTTTTAATTATAAACATTTGTACATTTTTCGAATCTTGTAAAAAAACAATAACGGCCACAGGAAAATATGTATAAATCAAACAGTTTTAAATAAAAGTATTGTTTCCATTTGAAAAGCGACTAAAATATCCGGCGGGCGTGAAAATACGCAGAGAAAAACGTTGGGAAATTTCTGTGGCAGAATCCAAGAACCGGCGATACTGATTATATTCGTTATCACGTACGGTTATACGATTTTAGTTAATGGTTATAGATTCACGAAAACGACATGTTTATTGGTCATTACGAATAATATTAGTTGATAGTGAGAAAAGTTCTGGTCGGATATCTGTAATCAATGACTTTATCGATAATCAAACATCATAACCGTTCGTTTCGTTTGGTTACGGTTATGGTTTGGTTATCGTTTGGTTATGGTTATACATACTTCAGTGACCTATGCGTTTATAACCAATAAGTAATAACCGAAATCGCCAAAACACGTATTATATTACTATACCATATCGGGCGTAGACATTTGATGTTTTCCGTTTTAGCGACCGATATATTCGGATTTTGTTTCGGAACCATGCGAGTACGGGCGGAGTAATTATAACGACGTGGCGACCGTCGCGCCGAAACAAAACAGTATAGCGACGAAACCATTGAACGGCGATAACCGAAGCGTCGCGTTTTATTTCAACGGTAACACATTGGGAACACGTTTTGCGGA